CTCGACTGCGAGCAAATACTCAGTGAGAGGTCCCCATGTTGCAAGCATTGACTGGCTGGAGCGCTGCCATGATTTGTATAGAGCCACTTGATAAAACAATTACATACTCAATCTCAAAGATCGTACATTGTTTTTAAAGTAATATATTTTGTGGATGATCTTTGGGTAAGAGAAAGAAGAACAAACCTGATTTCAATAATAATTCATCTCTAAATGTATGCCCTTAGTGTGTAGTATATTATTATGGACAAGGTTCTATAACTCTGGGAGACTCGGCAGTATTGAGAAAAACCTCATTTGAGTTACCACAAGAGTTTATTTTATTAAAGTTATGATCACACACTTTTAACTTAGTTTATGGACATGGTAATACAGAATTAAGTGTCCTGGACTACACTCACATGCGCGGTTGCCCTAATGAAAGGCTATGTCGACCCTGTCTAGATCAGGAATTTGGACTGAAAACCAACAAGTTGGACTAGATCCGAAAATGAAGATTATATCAGAACCGGAGCCTAAACTAAAACTGCACTGAATTCAGGAATATGATAAGTATTTATATCAAATAATTATTGATGTAGAATTTAGTTTGACGTAAATGAATGCAGTTTTGCAAGACTGCAAGTCAGCGATGTGGTAAGCATTATTATTACGGTCCTAACAGTTCGTGCCTCATTTCTCTTCGTCTTGAACCTCTAGGTATATAAGACGATCGTCACATACACATAATGAGTAATATGAATACCTTTTCCAAAACGCTGATTCACTTTGACAGACGACACACGTGTCTAAAACCGAATAATGTTGTAGACAAGTCGTTGTTATGGCGGCAATGTTAGTAAGTAGTGACGCGTGTGTCTGTTTGTCTGTCTGTGTGTAATATTATGTGCTGCTTAGCGAGGCCTCGTAAACTGGTAGGTATCGGTGCTCGACTGCTAGCTCCGCGCTAATGGATCTGCACTATTATATCCATGCTTGAGGCTGGAGCGGGGAGCGGAAATGTGATTGTAGCAGAATCATACCGGGTACTCGTCGCATGGCAAGAGACAATCGGGCAGGGAAAAATATTAAAGTTCGCAAAATATTTCTGCTCTAATTCAATGTGCCAAAACATAAAGTTAAGAAAAGTTAGTTTAGATTGACATAATATTTAATACAAAAGAGTAGTTCTTAAGTGTCCACTGGTAAACCCAAGTTGAAGAATGTGTACCCGCAGGTGTAGTACAAGCAGACAAACTTCAGTCAGTTTTGAAGTAGGTACAATAAAAGGTAATTTGTCAAGGCTTTAATTGAATAAAGAGCAGTTTGAATAAAGTCCGCACGTTTCTCATGGCTCGGCCGGCGGCGGGCGGCGGGCGGCGGCGCGGTGCTATAACTCAGCTCGGGAAGGCTGTTATTGTGTAGAGGCTGAGAGTAGTCCCAGTAGTGCGCTCTGTACCCGGCACCCGCGGCCCGCCACATCTCAGCCGCTTTATATTTCACTTTACTTTTGGTGAGCACTAGAAGCCGAGATTAATTGGGCAGTTAGTACAGCTGCTTTATAAAATAACTAAGTAAACGAACTAACGATTCTGTTGGGAAAATGAGATTTGTTCAAAAAATATCTTTATAAGAGATCCGTGACCAAGAAGGATCGTTAAGGTCCTCGCCTATTTCATTTTTTTTTTGTTAAAATATCTGTCTCCATAAACCTTGATAAAGTTATCTTTCATATGAAACCCTTAAAATTTAAGGAGTCATAAAAAGCCGCTAGGTACTGGGAGTAGGGGAACATAACAGTTGACACGTTATTCGAGAGAAATCTGACAATTGTGCGGGAAAAATGTCGGCGGGCGTAATGAGGCGATCATAACATCGTGTGCTGCGATCCTGGTAGTAGCGGCCGCTGTTCACTCGGAGCTGTGTGCGGGATGATTGTCACACTCCCCAATGCCCCCCTCCCCAGTGTGCTGCGCTCTGCCGCCACAGACCTGTACTAAATCACGGAATTAACCTTGCCGGCAGAAGTTAGTTGAATGATGAACACGAACTGAAATCGTTACGTTATGTCTACTGAAACTTTTTCAATATATTCTTTTTATTCAAAGCAATAATTATAAATCAATGCTATCCCTGAAATTAATATCTCTATATATGTTAGTTGAAATGACTATGTATAGAAAATACAAGACATCATTGGCACATGTTTGTGGTGTCAGGTTACAGGCGAGTGGTTGCGATCAGCTCCCGTATGATGGACACGGACACAGAACGAGTGTGTGATAATACTGATAATGAAGATTTCGACAACTATACGTTGCGCTGCTAAATTGATTAAAAACCAGTTGGTCATTCATCAAAAATGCAAATAATGTGCGTTGACGCAAGTGTACTTCATGACAGCTGGACGAACAACGTGGAAACGTTAATAAATTAATAGAAGTATGTGTGACATGTGCGCTGGAGAACTTTCTGTTACCCAAACATATTTTCGTGACGAAAAATATAGGTTCATAAAAGAAATACTCGGTGCTCCCATCGTTGGGGGCGGAGTAAATGTCAAAGGCTTCGGAACCGTTAATGTTACGGAATCAGAGGAAACAGTGAACCGTTCTGTATGTTATTATCGGAACAATCAAGTTCACGTGCTCATCGGAGCGAGCGAGCAACGACGTCATCAGCAGCCAGCCGTCGGTGCCACGAGGGAGTTATATGCCGAAGGACAGTTTGTATGAAACAGACTTATCATAGAAACTGAAGTTTCTGAAACTTCTAGGCATAGCTGTACAGTGACGCACATACATTGAGAGCTTGCTCCTGTCTATGTTCGGCAGCTGAGCGCGGCACTAACACGTAGCGCCAAGGTCGCAATAAGCCGCACCACGAATAATTCACCATTTACATACAAACTGCCGCCACCCTACCATCACACGACGAATAGCGCGAGGCTTTCCTGCGGGACCCTTTACATCGCTCGCTAGCGATGAATATAAAAATTGTGACCTGATTAAAAACAGCCGTGAATAAAATATACATGACACCGCGTTACGGTGAAGTGAGAGCCTTCACCTGGCGATATCGCTCATTTGCTTTGTCAGTGGAAAGTGTGTTAGTGGAGAGTACAGGGAGGACGCAGCTGTGCTCGACAAACTGCCATCAAAGAGTACTCAATAAAGAGGCCGCAAATGTATTTTGTATGTGAGCAGGAGATGGCGCGCTGTGTAGTTTTGCGCGCGGTAGCTGTGGCTCTTTTTACGTAATCTTTAAAGGAATTTGGAGATCAAGTGAGTCAGTTAGGTGTGTAGTGCTAAGTGGTGGTGAGACAATCAGCTCAGTGGTTGCACATTACATTAGAGTACATGAGACACGCGGCCCCGCGCCTCTCCCTCCTCTATGTGGATTCCCTCGTGTTTCCTCAAAGCGCGAGGTAACGAGATCGAAATTTAAAACAAGTGTGCTTTAAGTCAGTTAGTGTAACTGTTATTATCTCAGTGAGAACAGTTCACGGTTCGCATTAAAACTTTCAGCTACTACATACTAATGGCTCCAACACTTTACAATGTACCCCGTGCTCCTGTAGAGCGGCCGGTACTTGTGACCGCGGACTGATAACTCGCTGTTTTAGTTTCTCACGCGAATATCCCTGTACAAAGAAACTTTTAAGGCGACGATGTCTTTATTTCGCTTCACGCTACGTAATTAGCGACTACACTACTATAATTACATACAATTGTACATATATGTAGAGTTCAAAATCTTCGTCTGCCTGTTTGTCGTTGCCACCATGATGTGATATCTTTAGAAGAATGTTTTATTGAATAGAAATTCTATTTCTTCTATTCAGTTGCCTCTCCATCATGTTTCCAGTTTATTCCGATGTTGACAGATACTGGGGGTAATCTACTCCTTACAAAGTTACAATAGAACATTTAAAGTTACAGTAGATCTGTCTGTATAGAAGGCAAGCCTAGCGTTCACTGATTCCGTAAATAATTTCAGGATAAGAATTTGCGCAAAATTTAATATCGGTTGACAAAGATGTAGTGTGTAGCAGGTAGATAGTGGCCGCTACAGCTTGCGGCTGCCCGTCTTAATTAAAATACCTAATGAGAGCCGCCGGGACAGTCCCGCCCTGCGCCCTCGCCGCCGCGCCCCCGCGCCTCTCTCACAATCACCATTGCGCCTAGGCTACCCTCCCTCAAATAAATGTTGTTTCGTAAATCAACTTGTTTCGAAACTGTTGACTTAACACGCGTGCATCAAACCAAGGGTAACACGCCTCCAGGGAAACTAGGACTCTAATTAATGTTCAAAACGTCTTACTTACTGAGGCGGGTACTGTTTAAGTTACAATATCGATATGGACTGTACACCGTAATGCCAATTGTTTTAAATGTATTCAAGTAGCTAATGTAAAGTAAGTATATATTTTATTTGTCACAACAGTCTAACGTGAGGGTCATTCATTAGATTACAGCTGATAATATTTTGTGTTACTCAGCGACAATTTATTTATGGCGCCATTTAATATTATTAGTCGCTACCGCCACGAACACCGCACTTACCGCACACTCCGCTAATGTTCTATTAACCTAAAGAGAGCCAACAATGTGGTCCGACGTCCGACTACATAGGAGCGTTTTAATGGAACTAAGTAATCATGATCCTTTCATTGTTATTTTGATAGTGACATAATACATATTTTGGTATGTCTTTTTGAGTGAATCCTGGTTTTTAAGACTCATTGGTCGATGAGCGAGTTCCGAGCAAGAAAAAAGGTCTTAATTTCGACTTCCTTGTCGAGCCCAGTATTATTGAACTATTCAGTTCAGATAATACCTACTACTCAGTAACAAGATGGAGCACGGAAATAAGCTCATCTCCATTACCTGTCTCTTAACAGAACTGTTGGAAGTAACTGTTACATTTCATAATGTACATCTTTTGTTATGTGACATGTTAATACTTGTATAAAGATATGTTATAATTTGTTCACGTAATGAACGTCTTATTTGTTTCAGGAGAACGGGCGTGCGGTCCCGGTGCTGGTGGTGGTCGCTCTCTCGGGGGTCAAAGTATGCGACCCCGACGACCAGGTAACTCATACATACATGTATCATGTTTATTTACTATTACTTCAATTGTATATTTACATATTCATTTTTCCAAGACAATCTAATTTTATGTCATTCTGAAGTGATATTGATTGTAGAACTAAAGCAACCTCTAATTACATATATTATGCCGTGATTATAATGGTTTGTAATAAAAAAGTAATTTTGTGTGTACAACAGAGCGTGCGCATGGTCCACGCGCTGCGTCGCATCTCGTACGCGACGTGTGAGGCCGCGCGCGCGCTGTTTGCGCTGGTGGCGCGCGAGCCGCGCTCCGAGCCGCCGCACCACTACTGCCACGCCTTCCAGACCGACACGCCCGAACAGGTCAGTCTCACTAGTACCCATTAACTACTTACTGCCAATCACTGCTCTTACTTTGTGAGTCTACTAGGGGGCGTTCTGGGTGTGTAATTAGGTTAGTCCGAAAATAATTTTAATCTTTAAACAAAAGTTTTACCAGCCGTGAACAAAACTATAATTCAATACTTAATCTGTTATTTTTGTACTTCTATCGGACATGACGGGGTTTGTCAACAGATTTGACCCCTTCTTTTTCAATAAAATGGTTTCCGTAACAACAGGAGTCCCCAAAAACTATTTCGAGCATCATAAAGTGTAACATTTCACAGAGTACAATGTGGAATCAGGTTAGTGACACCTCGTGTAAAGTTTACGTCGGCTTTGGTTCACTTGACACTCGCCACACCACGCCACGTGCTGCTCTCTCGGTATACGTCATGATGGGTCTCCGGTCTCAACGTCGCGGCGTCTAACCCATTGTTGTTGTTATTTGAAGCTGTAGTCTAACGCTAAGGCTCACAGCTCCGGGAGCTGATCGTATCGCAACAATAACATGAGCTTCTGAGCTCCTGACACCGTTCGGGAATTTTCAATTATACTTCCGTGTCAGCGAGGTTTAGGTACTTTTGACTTGGGTTGAGTTTAAATTTCAATACTTCGTTGTTTTCATTTAGATATAGTGAGGTTTCAAAAGTATCAATGAAAGTAAAACAGCACAAAAAATTATAATGTCAATATAATTTTTTGGATAATGTAAATGTGTTTCCATACATCCATACATAATATCTATATTTTGGTAGAGAGTCGTGTAATGTTGCTACTGGGTCACATGCAGCAGATAATTGCAGGTACTGCAGAATGATCTACGAGGTAGTGGACAGCCGATACTTTGAAAGTTTCGGAGAAAGTACGGGCACGCGAAGAACGAACGACTTTCAAGTGTGTGTGTGTGTGTGTGTGTGGATCGCGTCAAGTTCGGGGTCATGTGGGATAAAACTGTGCTCAGTGAGCTTCGACAACAGTCCCCTCGGCGGAATCATAATATATTGAAGGATATGAATAAGTGATAGCACGAGCCACCGCATCGCATCACACTCCTAGGAATTACATGTGGTACTTTCGGAAATGTGGTGCTTCAAATTTTGAATACTCATTTGTGCCATGAGCACATGACCAACATATACAATTTTTTGGAAGAGTATTGGATGTGTAATTCTTTACTACTTATATAAATAATAATTGGAATCTACCACTCTTTAAAACGTATTAGTCTGAGCCATGTCGTGTGTCTCCCGTACTTAGCACAGTTTAGCATTCCCCTAGTACTTACAAATGCACGTAGAATAGAGACGCGACGTGTTGCTAGACAGATGCAGACGTGCGTCCACATTAATGCGCATGCTCCATCATGCTGCCAGGGTATAAGCAGGACTATTAGCAATGTTAAATGTGATGCCATTGTCTTGTTACACATGTATGACGCTCACATATATCATACTGTTAGCACACTCAGGAGGCCTTTAGTCCGCTTAGTTTATTCATGTCTTTGCAGTGAGTTAATCGTTTTTAAGCGTCAATAACAACAGAATTTGTTACATACATGCGTTGATTGTCATATTAAAACTTCAAGCTTACTCCCAAACAAGAAGGTAGTATTAAACAAATTTAGCGATATTGAAAGTGATAAAATTCCCTAGACAGTGCTTCTGAGGCGTCGCGTGGCGTTATAACATACACATCGTGGCGTACACATCGGAAGGAAATTGCACTTTAGGTGTTCCCGTACACAGACTTCAAACTATAGGGCACGACACGCGCCCCAGATCGCTCCAACATCTTGTCTGCTATACTAGATCGACAACGTTACACATAGATAGCTAAAGTAACACTCGTATGGAGAAAATGAATAAAAGCGGTCTGAGAACCAGGACATGCAGACAAGACGACAGTGACGAGCAATGTGTGTATTATGTTCCGATGTGATATCGGGTGTAACAGGATCGCGTAGAGCTAAAAATAAATAGAACCGAACATTTCCACAAGTCTGCACAAACCGCTGTGGAAGCAAATGAACTGTGCGAGCCGGATAAGATACGTGCCGAGTAGTTTCTTTGTTCAGCATTTTAATATTAAATGTCCTACACATTTGTGGAGTACGCATACATTATTGTATTGCTTACACGCTTACATTACTTGTTTACTTCTTCTTAAGATAAGATACATCTGAATGTTTAATGACTTTAGTCATAAAATCTGAAAAACACATTACATACGTATATTATAATTTTAAGAAAATAGTTTCAATTCAACTGTTTTCCATTTCTAAAAACCTTTACAGATATAGAAAACTTACAAAGACCATTCAATATCACTTTAACACTTGTTTCTCACAGATGTATCTGCTGAGATTTATTCGTTAGTTTCTGAGGGGAACTTTTTCTTTGGAGTGAAGTTACAACGTATGTATAACACTAGAGATGCAAGGAGTGATGTATTTGTTGTCTAGGCAGTCTGCAGTCGATGCCGCTTAGTGGGAGCACTTGACAACTTCGTCTGAGACTCGAGCTCAGCTGCGGTTTAAGAAATGTATACTCTGTAGTGTACAGTCACAGAAGTCTTGCTAAGCCTAGTTTGTGTAGAATGTTGTTTGTTGTGACTTCATCTCGTTTTGAGTTTACGAGGACTTACGTGTGACAGTTCATGAGTCTCAGTTGTGTGTGCGAACTCTATAGAGTTGTGCTTAGTGCTTCTTTGAAAGTAGTAGTGAAATTGTTCATGTTTATTTGTATGGATCGATATTATTCCAATAATTTCCGCAAAGCAATATTCTTAAAATTAGGTTTGTAATCACATGTCGTGTGATCACGTAAAGTATGACTAGACTGCAAGTGGAGCAGTACACGCGTGCTCCAATACATACTGGAGCAAGTTTTCCTCTAATAGGTAATAATAATTGCACTTTTTAGTAAAATTAATACAGTTTCAAACAATAATCTCCCGAAAATCTTCACCGAGATCTAATTAAAGTTCTCTGCTATGCGTTGATGTTGCCATCCAAGAAGTAAAAGGACAAAAACATCGGTTTCTCCAGTAGCTGTTTATCCAGAAATAATTGCGGGAACTAATTGTTAATGATAGTTTGATCAATGTCTGATGTTGCAGCTAATGAGCGGTGACTGACGAGAGCCGTCGTCACGCTCGTCCCGTCACATCTCCCGTCAGAGACAATCGTTGAGTCATCGTCAGCTTGTTGTGCAGCATTTGTTACTCAATTTGATATTTTAAATACTTAAATCTAAGTTAAAATATATATGAAACAAATAACTATTTCGTCTACTTCAGTAGTATTTTTAATTGGTATTAAAAGATCTGGTGACGCCAGTTATGGACAGCAGTGACAAGTGAGGTCATCTGTCCCGTAACTCGCGGCTGTATACAATAGTATCAGTTTGTCCGCAGACAACTATGTGTGGTCCTGTCAATGTGAGTGCCTACACTGTGCAGTGCTGTATAGTATTAGAAACTGCAGTTAGAAGTACTAGTATGATATAGTATGGTAATGCTTCAAGATGTTTAGTTTCGAGAATGGGCTCCGGAAACAGCGTTTTGTACTATAAACAAACCGATCTTTGTATTTATAAAAAGCTCATTAATAAATCTCTAGAAGCTCGACACGCGATCTTCACTCGACTGGATATTTGGGTTGCAGTCGTTGTGTGATTTTGTCACTAATTTATCACCAAACGCTTAAAACGTCGAAAATAAGCTCACAACAATAATAAACACGTGAATGGGCCATTAATACTTTGCTTGTCTTGTTGCGCATCGCTCCGACAATCTTGTCGTCTTATAATTTACTTGTCTTTATTTCTGTAATCGGATTAACGTCGTCGACACGTTTATTCTGAGAGCAATCGATCCTCACTCCTGACATTTTGTATGTTTCCAGTTTATTGTCGTCAATTCGAAGTTTAGCAGTAGGCGCATTTTGTTCGAACTAGGGCCATTACACATTTGTATTGTGCTCTAAGTTGTTTATATTTGGTGATGAACCTTTTGCAGTCCCCTGTGTGTTGGCGCTGCATACCTCGGCGCGCGACCTTGCACGCCGCACTCCGCGCGGGGACAGCGCGCGGCGCAAGCAGCCACATTCCTCACGACTGCCTCCCAAATAGTAAACACTGCGGCTGCACAAACCTCCGCTATCGTCAGCCTCATCTGGCTGTCCACCCATTCATACGTCTGTCTGCTCACTGGCAACGGACAGAAAAAAGCTCCTGATGAATTATTATCGACCATTATGCTATGTAACTTTGTCTCGCCGCTGATTGCTTGCAAAATGAGTAACTATTAACATTGAATGTGGATTGTTCGATCGATGGCGGTTGCACTTATTCATTAAATTATCATTAGGGACTTCTGTTTAGGGTCATCAACCGTTCGTCCGCTTGCAGAAAAGTTCGACGCCTTATAAAATTAAAAAGAAAAAGGTGTATACGACACAGGTGCGCGGGCGCTCGCGTTTCCCATTGTGCCTGCGCCACTTACCGTGAAGGCTCGAGTAGAGCTCAGAACGAGTTTGTTAGCATCTCTTGCAGCGAACCAGTCGCGTTCAAGCTATGGTGGAGCACGCACGTCCCGCGGCCGAGTGCTTCGTGTAGTGACGCGCGTGTCATTCAGTGACGTCTCGTGGTGATTGATTGTGTGAGCTCGCCGGGTCTGTGGTGTTGCCCGGCGTGTAGTGAGCTGTGATTGACCTGTGAATAGTTCCAGTTTATTGTTCGTAACAAATCGTGGGAGCTTTCCTTTGGTATGCAACTGTATGCTTTTGTATAGCAGTATAGAGAAATTCTTCAGTTTTATCCCGTACAGCACCTTTGCAGTGCTTGATTTTATCTTCTGTTAGAGAAATCACTGTGTAACTTGTGGAAGGATTAAGAGAAAAAGCAACATTACAAAAATGTGTAGAGTGGTGTGTTACGCCAATGTTTTGTCGGCTGTACAAAAAGCGCCCCACTAAAGGG